GGGGGGCGCCGGCGTTAGCGGATGCGGCGGCCGATCCCGAGATACGTGCGGAGAGTGGCAGCTCCGGCCGGTCCCGCGGCTGGTCCTGGGGACCGCGGGAGCAATGGGGGGTGGCCCCAGAGGAGAGCACCTTCTGCCGATGCCAAAGCCTGTTTGTGTTGGTGGGAGGATTCCTGTAGCTTTGGGTCTGTCCCCCGCTGCGTGGTGCGTGTACGGAGAGGGACGATGTTTAATTCTTGGTTATGTCACCGCGCTGGAGCCCACTGTCCTTTCCCATTTCCATACTTGAAGCACTTCTGAACACTTTCACACTGGAGAGTGAAATGGTTCTTCTCTTTCTCCTTTGTCTATCCCCACTTTCCTCCTCTGCTTCCACCACGTCCCAGTGCTCACTTGGAGATGAGGAATAGAGAAGTGGCATTTTCTATGGCAGAGATGACATCCGCTTCCGTCTTTTCTGCCCGGCCTATAAGTAAATGCCATCTTTATTTCCCCTTTCTTCAGAAGATGAGTTTATCACCTTTGTGCTGTGTTCCTGCTGTGTAGATTTGAGTAGCAGGCGTCGGGCAGCCTTCCGCATCCACCGGGAACCCGCCCGGGCAGAAGCGATGCGGGCTGGCGTGTCGCGGGGTGGAAGGAACCGCACGGCACCGGGGGACACCCGGGAGTTCCTCGTTGGTCCCCGGCAAGGTTTTCTTTTCAAGTCATTTGTGTCACTGCGGGAGGAGTTAGGGATGAATTCATTATTTTTGTATTGGTAAAACTGCACCGTGTTTTTTCGTACCCGAATGGCCTTCGCACACGCGTGCTGGAACGGCTGCTCGTTCAAGGGTGAGCGCGTCGTGCTCGTCGGCCCTCGGGTCGGGTTATGGGTGGGAATCGGGGGATCTCGGTCGATGCGATGCCGCCGTCGATGCGCCGTGGCAGCAGCGATTGGCACCTGCGGGTCTTTAGCCCTCAGCAGCCCCGCAGCGGGAGGGCGGTGGGAGGGAGCGGGTAAGGGGCACAGCTCTGCAGCACCCGCAGTCTCTACAGCTGCGCTACCAAAAGCCCTTTTGGGTCTTTAAAATGCCCTCTCGTGAGGCAGCCTATGCCAAGGGTGCACGGAGCATCTGGACCAGCCACAACGGGGTGTTTCTCCCATTTAGGTTCACTTTGGCCTCTAATTCAGAAAAGAAAAAATAAAACAAAACAAAAAAAACCCACCCTGGGACGCTACTTACGGTTTCTGTCTGTGGTGATCAAACACTGTGTAAGCAGAAGTTTTCTCAGTAATTTATCACACAATAAAATCTTACGAGAGTGGGAATGACTGTGCTGGCGGCTGCGCATACCTTGACGGATCATCTGCTGCTAAACGCTTAAATCGTGGCAAAATAATCATGCGAATAGGTCGCTGCGCAGCAACGATACATACAACAGCGTACTGAATATAAACCGGGCGTACAGGTAAACGCTCTGGGCATGAAAGAGGCTGTAAACTGAAAGGATGGGACCCACGAGAGGGACATTTTAAGTTTTATCCTACTTTGTAATTGTAAATTCCCTTCTAGCGGGGCCTCACTGGTAACAGGATATATATTGAATTAGCTAAACGGTTAATTGATGAAGCTCGGGCTTTCAAATGAGCGCCTGTAAATAATGGGCACAATTCATCTGCGGTGTCCAGTAACACCAGTGCAGTCAGGGAAATTACACCGGGATTGAATTTGATTCCTTCTGTCTTTGCTTATCAGGAATACAACTTGCCCAGACATTTTATGGGGAAACGTTTGCCTTAGGCTGTTTATACTGGCTGTGCTTGAGATTTGGAAGGGGAGGGGGGGAAAAAAAGAGCAGTTGTAGGAAGAAATCACAGGAATACTTTGTGTAACGTTCTGCCTCCTCCTTCTCTCTCCTCTGATACCAGGGCAGCACGCTGAGGAAGCGGAAGATGTATGAAGAATTCCTGAGCAAGGTCTCCATCCTGGGTCAGTTGCCCTTTGGATTTGCCTCTTAGCTCCTCTGTTGTACGTGTTGGCGGAATGACTTTTGGTCTTTGGTGGCACCATGAAAGCGATGGTGGTCACACAGAAGGTCTCACGGTTGCGTCGTTTCCGAAGGAATGGAAATGTAAAGGGCCTTTTTTAGGACTTGTTTTTTCTCATTCCTTAATATGCACTGAACGTTTGTTTGAAGGGCAAATCTTTCCTTAAACATGGAGCAGGCATGCACTGGCCGCCCTTTGGTAGCTGCTGTTGCAGCAGAGATCGTACGGATAGAGGAGAAGGCAGTGCAGAGAGATGCATTTGTGGTAAAGTCTGGTTACATCCTTCCAGGTGACAGGGGAGAGGGTTTTTCCTGTGAGAATACTGTATTTATGTGCACTAAACAAACGAAGCTCACAAATCAGAACGGACTGGGGTTTTTTTCTTCTCCTGTGTATTTTACAGCCCCTGTCTCACATTCTTAAAACATCTGTTTAGCTTCTTGTCCTTGGATTTTGTTTCCCTTTGATTAATGCGATAGCCACGAAATTTGGACATGTTCTTGATGGCCTTCGGTAGGAACAACAACAAACCCATAGTGCCTGACCAATCAATCACCATTAGGAGAACAAAAGCGTCTAATAAGGAGGACAGTGTTAGACAGTACAGTGGAATGTCGATGCTCAAGGAGGAACATCATGTTTCCAATGGGGCTATTAAAAAAACCCAACAAAACCAAAACCAGCAGAGGATTAATTTGCTATATAATTAGTACAGGATTAATTTGCTATATAATTAAAATATTTATATTTCTATTTAAACAATTTTCTTTTCTTGTTTATGGTATTACTCTACTATTTGGGCTTATTTACCTGAAATGTGAGAGTCTTAGTGAAAATACACTTGAACTTCGGAGAGGTGCTCTGCATGGAATTTTCAATTACATTTGTGTGGTTAAAGTAAGGCCAAGTATGTTGCTCACTTATTAATGAAGTTTTCATCATTTAAATGCCTTGTTTTATGCTGAATGTAAATCTTCCTAAATTAAGAACACAAATTATACCAAATTACAATGAGTATTTAAAGAAAAAAGGATCCGTGCACCTGCACTAACGAGAAGCAATTACAACAATGAGACATCTCGAAGCAATTGCAGAGGAGAAAGGTTATTCAAAGATGCGTTTCCTTAAACATGCGGTTTGCGATGTAATTATAGCCCAGTTTGTAGTGTGGCTTTTCAAGCTCAGTGAAAAATGAGGAAGGACTTCGAGATTTGAACCTTTTTTTAAGTACGGAAAAGCACCAGACAAAATAACGCGTCCTTTCAGGAGCACGGAGAATTCAGGGGAAATGTGGAAGGATCCGTTTCACATGTCCAAAAAGTAGATGACACTGGGAAACAGGAAGGTGTTTTGGAATCTCAACACAGCACTGAGCAGTCAACTTCACTTCATGCCTTAATGTGGGCGGAACTTGGTGATTTCCTGGTGGAAAAGCCTCTCCCTGCTTCTTACGTGTATTTTTTCAAGGCTTCCATGGTGTCTGTAGCTTGCCATATAACTCTAAGAGCAATTATATATTTTTTAAAAATCTAAGGATTTTTTAGATTATCGGTAGCTGCTTTTAGCGTATTGAACAAGAAATGAGAAAACTAATTGTTTAAAATCTCCCTTCTCCAGTTTAATTAAATGTAGAGCCATGAATTGATACGTACAATTTAGAAATTGCAAAAAATTGCACGTGGTTTACTTTATCTGATGCTTCGCTTTAACTCTGCAACTAACACTTTGAAAGTTTTATCATGTACAATCGTCTATAACTTGCAAGAACCATTAACCATTGCATTTGTAGTGTCCCTTAGACAAAAGAGAGACACTTCATGACTACAACTAGAATTAGCTTTGCATTTTTCATAAAACCAACTGAAGAAGTTTCAAGAGACTCTTTTCATTGTTAATTACGGAGTTCTTTTTTTTTAAAAAAAGAAAAAGCCTGCTCTAGTCTGTATGAAAGAGTTTTAAGCTTATTTTTAGTCAAACAGAGCATTTTTTGAATGTTGCATTGAGGATACGGGCTTGGTCTTTGATACTAATGCTTCTGCAGCAAAAGCCACAAATACACCGGGAAAGTGCGTTAGTGATTACAGGTGGGGAAAAAATTAGAAATAATCATTTCCCAACCAGCGGCAGAAAGTGGCACAAAGCCATGGGGCCGTACGTGTGTCAGGCAGCTCAAAACTCACCTTTGGTGCGCTGATGCGAACCGTCTGGCGTGGTCGCCAGAGGCAGCGTGCGCTGCCCAGCTCGGCCAAAAGGCCAGTTGAATTTTTAAGAACAGCTCTTTCGCCCGCGCCCAGTAGTTCTAAGCAATATTTTGAACAAAATTGCAGAAGGGGAGGCTGAGAGAACAGCCCAGATGTAATGCCGGTGTCAGGAGCCGCGTCTTGTCTCACCGTAGTTCAATAATTCATAATAAGTGAGAATCGGCAGAGCTCCAGTAGATGAATTTTAGCCCGGCTTTTTGAGGCAGTGAGGGGTATATCGCTGTATTATCTCTTTCTTTTAATAACTGTTAAACCTGTCGCTTCTTTCAGTCAAATCTGGTAAAAGTACAGAAGTTCAACTCCAATTCATTGCCTTCAATTCCCGTGCGGAGGGGGAGAGGGGGGAGAGCCAGGCGGACACCCCTCCTCTCCCCGGGGGAAACGCAGCCCTTGGCGGCGGTGGGAGGAGGAGGGCGGCGGGACAGCGGTCTTTTGGCCGTAGCTGTCCCGGGGGCTGTGCGGCAGCTGCCGGTGGGTGGGGGGGGCACGGGACCGCGGGACGCGCGCTGCGGCAGGGC